CCCCCCCCCCCCCTCCCCGGCTCTTGAGAAACCGAGCGATCGCTGTTTGGCTCCGGTCAGGAAATTGTGAAAAAGCGTAAACACGGCTGATCGTGTCACGTATCAGCGCACCCGACTTTACGTGCGATATACGTGATATGCGGGTTCGGGGAAGTTACTAAGTAAGTCGCTAAGTAACCCGTTATCATTTCTACCTAAGAAGAAATTAAACCAGTTTCTAGCCGGTGACTGGCCAATAATTTCCTAGCTAACTAGTTTCTGGTCAGGTTTACCGGCTAGAAATTTACAAGTTTGGGAGGCCTTCGACGATAACTGGATAGTAAAACTAACCAGTTTCCGGCCAGTTCCTAATAAGATTTCATTATTATTTCATTTGTTTATTATTTTACCAAGTTCCTTGCTAGGAAATGGCGGCCAAGAAAAACACTAGGCAGAATTTTGCGAATTTTTGCTGGATAGAATCTATCCGGTATTAACTTACTTTTTTTCTTTTGGAATAGTTTACAGCGAGTGGCTGGCCATAAGAAATAATAATCAGCATTTCTTGGATAGATTCTGAACGGTTACCGTCCAATTAATTCAAAACCAATAAAAACCGTCCAGTTTCTGTCTGGCGGCCCCTAACATTTTCCTATACGGCAATTTAACCGTGATTCGGCCGTGATCGATCCTCGGGGTATAAGGAATCGTCTCGTCGAATGAGAGAATCGGCTCAGGTTAACGTGAAGCGAATCAGGGCACGGCGATCAAGATTCGCTCGATCGATCGATCAAATTGCGGTGCGCGTCTCGCTTCTCACGTCACGTCCCCGATAGATGCTGCGCTCCCATGCACACATACACACACACACACGCCGACGCACCGCGTCGCATCACATCGCCAGCGAATCGCTTGCGTCTTAGAAACCGATCCGCGAAACGTACACCCGCATCGCCGTCGAACGTATCTCCGCCGCTGGTGCGCCGACAGCTGCTTCCTCCCCCTCTTCCACCCCTCCTGCGGGACCCACTTCCTCGCGCGCAACCACCCTGTCGAGGGATGCAAGAAACGCGAAGTGCATTCGCGCGGCAACGCGACGTGAGTGGCAGCAGGGCTCTCGCGCTTACCGCGCGACAACAAACTTAGCGGCTTACGTATCGGCGCGAGAAAGCAAAGGCGGCCTTTCATATGCAAAATACTTGCGCCGTAAGTCTCTCTCTCGGCGCGCGGCTCGTCTTCGCCCGCGAACGCGCACATTCGAAGACCCGCCCCGTCGTTCCCCGTGAAAAATGATCTCACTGACAATCGATGTGCGCGCGCGTGCAGCAGTTTATCGTGGAAGAAGCGAGGCAGCGCCATTTGCGCCCTCTCTTGATCGATCGCTTTGTCTTGATCGATCGATTGAGCTTCGTCCGGGCGAGCGAGCGCCTGAATAAGTATCGCGAGTCGGAGCGCGGGAAGAGGGAGGGGGAGAGAGAGAGAATACATTAAGCGGGTTTAACGTCGGAGAAAAAAAAGTCGCCGAAGGCGTCTGGTATTTAAGAAAGTAATCAGTGCGAGAGAGAGGTGGGAGGGGAGGGGAGAGCAGAACACAGTGAAATATCGGAATCCAGGCATGCTGATTGCTTCCTCGGGGCCACGCGAGGTGATCGCGAGGAGAGAGAAAATTAGCGGCCGCGGAATCATTGAGCGCGCATGCACGCGTGTAATTAGAAAATCTCTAGAACGCGGCGTCGCGACGCCTTGATGAGAACGTCTGGATATATAAATGGAAAATTTGACGCGACATTGCGTTCGATGTATCGAAAGTCGCCGTCTTCTTCTCCGTTTTACACGGTGATACTTGGAGCGAGCGAATAAAAAAGAGCAGAGGAATGAGTATAAGTTGTGACGTGGCCGCTGACGAGCGTCCGTCACAAAGTCCGAATTTCTAGAAAGCGGTTATTTTCGCGTCGATATTGCGCGTAAGATGAAAGCACACCTACGAGACTTTCGGTTCGTGCGCTTTTTGCACACGCTGCCAACCGGCGTGGTCTGACATACGTAGACTTTAATTAAGCGCTAAAGAGCGTCCCGAGCGGAGGGAAAGAACGTACGAGGAAAATCGGGAGGTAGTCGCGACTCGTCGAGGGACATACCGGCTAGCAGAAACGACTGGCGAGGCGAATCGGGCCAGTAGCGACAGCGCAAGGCCGATAAGAGAAGCTCCCGCGGGAAAAGGATTCTGCTAATCGCTTGCTCTCACTCACTCACTTTCTCTCTCACTTGCGTCCGCACTCCGCTAACGCCGGGGCCGAAGTGTCGATCCCCGGTCGATATCCGTTAGGACTCCTTGGGCGCCCCCCTAGCGGATTTTTCGGGGATTCGCACGCGCGACTCGCGCGCGCCGCGACGCCAATTAGCAGAGTCCTTTCCCGCGGGAGCTTCTCTTGTCGGCCTTGCGCTGTCGCTACTGACCCGATTCGCCTCGCCAGTCGTTTCTCCTAGCCGGTAGTCCCTCGACGAGTCGCGACTACCTCCCGATTTTCCTCGTACGTTCTTTCCCTCCGCTCGGGACGCTCTTTAGCGCTTAATTAAAGTCTACGTATTAAGAATAACTGGATCTACTTTTAGAAAATATTTACTGCGCAGAAAAATCCAAATTTAAAACTACTAGGCTTCTTCAATGTAGAAGATAACTTACATAACTGTAATAAGTGTTCTCTTAGATTAAGAACTACGTTTTACGTTTACATTTATTGATTTATTTACAAATTAAGGAATTACCGCTGGTTCAAACAAATATTTATTACAAGCCATTGAAAAATACATAAATTAATGAAAATATTACTTGATATGAGAAAATATTACTTATATAAGGGGCAGAAAAATAAGAAGCGGGTAATCACATTTATTTGATTCTAGCATTTTTTCTGCGGTGCCGTCGTTGTTTGACTCGTTCTTCTTCACCTTTCTCTCTCTCTCTCTCTCTCAACACACCTTGTCATTTTCTACTTCGATTAATGTAGCACAATTGAGACGTACAAAGGCGAGCCCATCATTCATTATGGACACTGCCGATATACGTTTCACTATATCCATATAATCTTTTAAGAAGAATCTCGTCGAAATAAAACACATTCATCGAGACAACTCTCAAAATTCAGTAAAGTTTCGTCATTTTATACATTCGTGTATCTCAACGGCGGGTTCATCCCTTTCGAATTTTAAACGCTAATATCTTTTTATGAGAAAAAGCGGTCTCGCCCTTGTTAAAACGGAACGCCTCGATTGATACGCTTTTAATTCCATAGCACCGTATCGGGTTCCATCCGATTCTGGTAAAATCACTCAATGTTACATTTTGCTTTCGAATAACGTGGCGTTTTAAAACGCTGTCGGGGACGTGAATTACAATTTGAAACATAATTTTCCGCCCGAGTCGAAATTTTAATGTTTTTTTTATTGAAAATGTCAAATTAAAATAGACATTTATCGTCCACGTGACCACTCCAGGGTTAACACGGGGTCAAAATTTCGACATAGGCGAAAAATATCGCTTAAGATACCCGACGTATCAATTAATGCAATGGTCGAGCGGAATGTATCGGTTGTGTTGCCGAAAAAAAATGTCTCGCACGATTGATCGGCGTGTTCTTTTTACGTAGCCCGCATAGCTCGGGGAAATCCACGTAGAGCTCGCGCTCACCTACACCTTTCAGCGCGGAGATCAAATAAGCCACAGAAAAATCAATAAGATCGCGAGGGCGGCGCGAGATCCGTAGAAACTGCGCAGCACCCAAACCCATCGAGAAAAAGAGAGAGAGAGAGAGAGAGAGAGAGAGAGAAGCGCGCATTAATCTATTGCACGATACTCTCTATAAACGTATAATATTATTTAATGTTATTATAATATTATATATTCTTTAAATATTCAATTCTATATATATATGTGTGTGTGTGTGTGTGTGTGTGTGTGTGTGTGTGTGTGTGTGTGTGTGTGTGTGTGTGTGTGTGTGTGTGTGTTACTTTATTTATATATATTTTCTATATTATTATTTTTTTAATATTCTAAGAACATTCCTATAATATTAAAAAATATTACATAACATCCTTAGAATATTATAAGAATATTATTATAATATTGAATATTATTCATATAATATTGTTTCTCCACATGCCGAACCGGCGCGCACGAATTTCACGGAAACACGGGGGGCGCGCGTTGGCTCTTACGAGGGTCCCTTAGCCTGATTATAATTCCGAAGGCAAATAATCTGTGGCTTATTAATGGGAGGCAATCTTTCTTAAGGTGCTTCGTTCATCGGCAGGAAATTTCTATAATTATTTTCGTCCCAGGCCCGAAGAGCTCATTAGGTCGTCGAGGCCAAACGGGGCGCTTCCTTCCCCTTCTCACCCCCTCCTCGTTCCCTCTGTCTTCTCGACCGCCCCCTTACATAGCCTGGTACTTTTTTTCTCCCTTTCCTTCACCTGCACCATCATTTCGCCTTTCCAGCCACGCTCGGACCTTCGTCCTCCACCACCGTCCACATTTCTTTCCGTTCCTTTTTTTCCACCCGGTTTTTTCTCGCCCCTCTCGCGCGCGGCCTCTGTATCTTCCTGCTCCTTTCCCCGTAACCCTCTCGACCGTCGCATATCCGTTTCTCCGTCCGGAGAAGCTATTGTTCCAAGAGAGCAGTCCGCGCTGTCAAAACATCTGGTTCGTGTATACAATGTTTGCTAGTATCTAGATAAAATGATTTAAATAATCATTCGAATGAATAAGTAGATCATCTTTACCTTTATCCAGATGGAAGAAGCGCAAAATATATTCATTTTCATCTCATGTAAAAGGAAACATGTTATCTTATCTAAAAATTATCTGAAATTTTACGGTCCATATTTTGAACTCACTTTCCGATCAAATAAATGAAATAGTATGGACCTATACGTCTTTCTTGTTATGCATTACCCCTTATTTAGTATACAGAGTTATCTTTTATTAAGGATAACGTTACAAGAAACGAATGAAATGTTTTCGTTCTTTACTCAACTGTTTCCATCCATTGCCTCTCTCTCGTATTCCACGATTCATCCCTCTTACTCATTTCACGCGATTTTCATCCGAGTGCCGCGAAACGGCGCTTCTGAAATTGAAGAGAAATAATTTGGCGAGAACGCACACGATGAATTTGAAAACAGTGCTCTTAATTAATTATTAATTAATCAATTCTTTACACGCAATACAGCCGGTTATATTTCACCAATTCGGTTATATTCAATTTGCGGCCGGTGGTGCCTTCGCTCCGTTGATTACGAATTTTCGGTATATATTCTGCGCGCAACCGAAATGCACGCTGAGGCTGATGTTTTATTATGCACCGTAAAATAATAATCAGTGCGTCGCGCGGAAAATAATTATGCGAACAGTGACACACACACACACACACACACACACACACACACACAAAAAGAACGTAAAAATTGGCAGTTTAATTAATTAGCTCTTTAGGTAGCCGGATTATTACCAGGCTTGCACAACAAAATGACAGCTTGAGGCTTCTCTGGCGAGTTGATTACACGGACGCTCGATATTCATCATTCCGATACTCCGATAAAATCCCGAGTAAAAGTCGCGTATTTCTCTCTCTCTCTCTTTCTCTCTCTCTCTTCCTCTCGTACTCGCGAACGTATTTAACGAACGCGCCTCTACTTCATTCCGCGCGGATCTCCTCCGTGTATGTACGCATACTCCGCAAAAATCTGGATGTTTGAAATGAATGCAGAGCGGTTATATAACCGGAGACGTATTACGAAATGGACATTGCCTTAATGTCTTTCAAATGAGCGGGATTTTCAGCAACCACGATCGTCAGCCGGCAGCCTGGCGAGAGAGCCTCCAACGACGCTCGGTTATAACTCCGTAGAAACGTAAAACGGGCAGTTCACTTTGCAGAATCCAAGTTTGGTGTTGTCATAGGGAAGCAACACTCTTCTAATCGGAATGCTGCGTCTTTTTGACCGATAGGCAGCTCGAACTGCCTGAGAGATTTCAAGAACAGTTAAGTGCCGATCGCCTTCGATGAGTTCTCGAACAGCCTCGGTGATCTACGCTGTGATGCTAGTGCGTGGAAGGCGCGGGTGGGCAAAGTTTTCAACACGCCCCCGTCCTTTCTTAAATTCGTTACACCACTGTTTCACCCGAGCCCATGAAAGAATTCTTTCCCCAATCTGTGGGAGTAAACGGCGCCGAATTTCAGCAGAATTTACATTTTCGTTGACGAGAAACTTAACACATTAACGGCGGGCGATCTCGACGAAAGTATGCTAGGTAGCGCGGCGGCCGCCCGCCTCGTTTTTCGGCCTAGAGCGGGCGATATTTTGTGTGATCATAAAAACTTTAAGGTACAGTCGAGCTAAATCGTATTACTACGACTCCCGCCTTTAAGCCGCAGTCGAGCTGAATCGTATTACTACGACTCCCGCCTTTAAGCCGCAGTCGAGATAAATCGTAGTACTACGACTCCCGCCCTTAATGTGTTAATAATAACACGTTGTGCAACTGCGGTGTACCTCTTTGTCGCTCATCGTGATTGCTGCTGAGAGTAAGAAGCACGTGGCGCGCCAACGTTATTACTGCTTTCCACATAACCCCCCTCCATTGTCCAAAACGTTGCAGACCCCTCATGCCGCCGACGGGCGCGCAATTTAAAAAGGCTCATTTATATTTGATCCATTCTGGTAAATAAGCGTGTTGTGCATCAACTTTGGCCCACATTCGCGCAGCTCCAATTTCCGGTTAGCTCTCGCAGTCTCGCGGGAGAATTCGAATTAACGGCGGGCATGCCTGTGCTCGATGTGCGTGCGTGCGTGCTTGCGTGCTTGATTACAAATTCGAGTCATCTGTTCGTCCTTTCAATCAACGCCATGCGTTTCGACGTCTTCAGACCCTCGTCGTTGCGTCATCGCATAGCTCCGGTATGTGAATTACAGCCGAGGCACCGTATAACACGCATGTACTCCGCGTAGGAAATTCGATTCGAGGGTGTGCGACTCGTAGCGTTGCTGCTGCGAACGAGCTCTGATATTCCAGGCTGCCGTTTTCTCCGCGTGTGCGCGGACGAGGACGCGCAACGTGACGTTGAGACGACGCGTTTCAACGGGTTGGGAAATACAGGGTGTCTCGTAAGTCGAGGTTAATCGCTCAGCAGGTGATGGGGGCCGCAAAAACAAGGGAAAAAGTTGATACGCACATACCTCCCGAAATGTCTTGTTTTCGCGATATTTATGTTGTTACTTGAAGTTGCTGTGTTTCAA